ACATTCAGTAAAGGTGCTCTTTCCTAGTGTAGGTTTCTTGAGGGATTTACATATTTTCAGCTTTTATTTATTCATTCACTTCGTGATACTGTTTGTACAGCTTTTCAGTGCTTTGTGTGTTTTTACTGAGGTTGTCCTGGTGTGTCTTTTCAACCTTGTTGCTTGTATTAATTCAGCCGTGCTGTTTAAATCAAATAATTTACCAGAATAGGAAAAAAAAAGATTATTTTCTTGTCTGGTTGATCTTTCTGTTTGAAATGCAACATGTGAAAAACAGTTACAGCTCTCTGAAGTACTCTATCTGGATGGTATTTTAAAATATATCCAGGCTTTTGATTGTGTCTTTATGCATTGCTACTTATACTATAATTATATTAAACTTTGTGGCATTTCCTTGAAGAAATCTTTTCATTCTATAAACAATACCAGCTTTGCATCCTTTTAATTTCTCGTTATTTTCTCACAAATGAAAAAAAAAGGTGTTTTCACCTCTCGTTGAGGGCCTTCACACTTATAAAAGGAGCTTTTATTCAGCCTCGCTGGTAGAAAACAACAACCCACACCTGTCTCTCTGTCACAGTGGGTTGTGGCCAAAAGAAAGAAAATAGCAGCGTAGGCTCCCACCAGTTGGGTTCCCCTCAGAGTTTGGTTTTGTTGATTACACACTAGTGGAGGGCATTTCCTGGCATCAGATCAACTCAATGATGCCTAAGAGGTCTGGGGAAACAGCCTTCCCATGATGTCTTGTACTGTAAATATCTAGCAAGAGGGGGTCTTTTTTTAGGGCAACTCAATAAAGATGCTAATGAATGGAATGGGATGAAATAAAGAGTAAAACTGAACTTCACCCACATTAGATTTTGCACATGGGAAAAAGTCTCAATGAGAGCACATCAGATACAGCTGATGACTAATACAGCAGTTGTATCCACAGGTGCCACTGAAATTAAATTACACAAGGGACATTTAGTTATTGGCATGAAAATCAAGCCCGGAGGAAACGAGGGACATGGCTGCTTTTATGATTAACATCTGACCAGAACGATAGAGGATGAAACCACAAACTGGGAATTGGAGATGTTGTCTTTCTATGCTTCTGCACCGGCGACAGCTGTGGCCGGAGGTTTTATCTTTTGGGTTGTCCGTCCGTCTGTTCGTTCCTATTCTTGTGAATGCGATATCTCTGGAACGCCCCGAGGGAATTTCTTTAAATTTGGCACAAGAGTGAACTGATTAGATTTTGGTGGTCAAAGGTCACTGTGACATTGGTTATGACCCGGAGACACAAATAGGAACATTCAATTTGATCTGCTTTATCATGTGGACAAATATCTTGAGACAATTTTGTTGTTTTTTTTTTTCAAAATAGTGGGTTGTCTTTGCCTTAACTTCCAAGAACCACATGGCAGCACACAAAGTATTGGAGTGTGCCTAGTTAATGGTGATCCAGTGATTGAGTTACAGCTACTCATAGAGAGGCTTTCCATCTAAAAATGCCAGGAGAAAACAACAGCACCAGATTTTGCATTGCTATACTCCATAAGTATCCATCTCTACATGATAATCAAGATGTTAAAATTATTCAAGCTTTTTCTTCTACAAGTTCTCACATCGTATTCTACAAGTTATCACATCAAGTCTATAGCTCTCAATTGGATAATTACCTTCATGCACAATTCTGCTGGCCAAGTATAAGCAATATGTATGGTCACATACTTTCTGTGTATCCAATTAATTTTTTATTCACTACGGTAGTGGTCAGTGTCAGCCAGTCTGACACTAACACTAACACAAACCTGGGTTTGTGTCCTGATAAATATACAGCGCCATGGGAAAAAATTAATAAAATATTCTTGTTCCAGAGTGCATTTTGATTTGTGTCATTACTTATGCAGACATATGTTTTCTGCCTGAACTTTGCAGATATCTGAGCGATGATGATGGGTTTTGTTGAGCTTGATGTTAAATGACTCCCACATGATCCTTCTCTGACTACAGCCAGTTATTCTATAATGGTTGTTTCTGTAATTAAGCAAAGAGCCACAGAAGACTGATACTGTGGGTGCAACCAGTAAGTTTAGCTGCCTACTTATTGCAAGCTGACTAATACACGAGTGCCATTTATAAGAGCAGCTCTGCCTCTGAATAACACATGCAAAACAAAAAACTTCACAGGGTGTGAAAAAGGATGAAGCATCGGTTTAAAATTACTTTCAACTTGGGTTTAATGATGACCGATTTTACCTGGAGGTATTATAGCTACATAGGCTTATATTTTACACGAGAGCTGCACAACGTTGTAATGATTCATAACTGTCCTTTCATTAAAAACTAATGAACTGATTCTGCTTTCATTAAAGAAATATAATCAGGAAGAATACAGGAGTAACACTTCATCTCATCTCGTGTTTTGCAGCCATGTGTTACATAAAGCTTCTTCATTTCTTTCTCGTGAAAAAAGGAGATACAATTGTACCTTGAGATCAGCACAAAAGCTCAGAGCCACTCACACTGTGGTTTTTACACCACAAAATGGTAAGAGACAAAAAGCACTCTCCCTGCTCACAACAGAAAAACACTCGAGTGACGCAGCGATCAACACTTAGACTTAAAGATCACTCACTCACTCACTCATAAACAAACTCTACCCATGTACGGACAGTGCAGCCTCATTTCCTCCAAATTGGCTGTTATCTAATAGACGTTGATGGAGTGAGAATGGGTTCAAGTTTGGCTTGACTGAACAGCGGTGCAGACTGGAGATACAATATCAAAACAGAGTGCCGGATTGAAAAGGTCACCCATTGCCAAGCATATATATTGCTGAATTTAACCTTTGAAATTATTAATTAAAATGCACATATAAGCTGCCATTAACTCCCTGAAACTTGCACATTCCTTAATTTCTGCACTTTTTACTTTTTCCTGCTAGTCTTAGCTCCTGCAGTGCACTCACTTGAACTTAAGCTGTCTGTTAAATGAAAGGCAGAATGTGTTTACCACAAACATTAGTTAAAAGGGATTTATTATCTTCCAAACTCCTAATAAATGATGCGCATTGGGTTTTATCTTACTTTTCTGCTTAATTCTCTGCACATGCTCAACGGTAATATCCAGTGGTCTAAAAAATCTGTTTTACTGCCTGTCTGCAGAGCAGGTGAACATCAAGCTGTGAATGTTTGTGCTCTTGTAATTATGACTGATGCATGATTAGTAGAGACTTAGTGCACAGCATGCCAAAAAAATCTGAATCAATTAAGATCTTTTTTCCCCTTAATTTAGGATAAGTGCATTCGTCAAGTTAATCCAACAAATTAGTGTTGGCAGCACTAGGAAAACTTCCAACCAATATTTCATGTTCTTATATATATATATATATA